GGGAAGGTTGCTAGTTGCACAACAGTGGATACTTTCAGCCACTTCAAGAAGCCCCAGCTTTATTCTTGGCAGACCATTTGCACCTGGATTTGGAGAGACCACACATGGTGTCACTTGTGCCTTTGAGGACTGCACAGATTCCTCTTTAGTCTCCATTGTTTCAAACATTCCCGCTTAGAGGGGAATGGAACTTTCTGGCTTGGAGGTGGAACACTGTCCCCACTGCATCTAGGTGTCTTTGCATTTTCATGTTTCATCCTGAAATTCATGGGGATTTTAAGGTTCCCTGTCATAGCCATGCTGGTTTCATTTTTTAAAACACTTTGTATTTAAAATATTATGTGATCAAGGACACAGAACTGTATCCGAGAACTAATACGTAAGAACTGTACGCAAACAAATACCGAAACTCCACAACAGGGGAGCAAGGAGGGCTGGGATCCAAGTTCTAGATGGAAAGGTGACACCTAGGAGATGTCAGCGTCCCCAACTCCATCTGCAGATCCTGGGCAGTGCTCCCCCCTTCCCTCCTAGGGCACACGTGTTGGTGTCTGGCTTTTGAAACAGAGGGGGGAGGAAGGAGGAGGTGCCAGGTGAGTGAGGGCCGGGGTTGGGATTGTGCTTGGGAAGCGAGGTGGGGTAGGGCGGCGGGGGGGGTGCGGTTATGTGTGCACATAAGTAAATGACCCAGCCAGAAGGTAACCCGTTGATAGTAACAGGCCAGGCCTGGCACTTTAAACATGGCACAAATTTAGAAATACAGAAAGGAAAAGTCAGGAAAGATCCCAGGCCGTGTTTGAAATGGCAGATGCTGCCATGAACGCGTTGGTTTACCACGTGCGTGTGCACAGCCATGGAGAAGTGGCTGCAGGTGAGCGTGTATGTGCATGCCCAGGCTTGATGTGCACGTGTGCCCAGAGCCTGCCACGGCCGGCCCTGCGCTCCCGGGCCAGCTCCGCTGGGTCCCCGCGAGCCTCCGGTCACGTTTTTACCCAGCACTTCCTGCACTTATCTGCCAATTGCAACCTCGGGTCTGGTGCTCAGGGGACCCGAGGACGCTTCAGCACTGGCTCAGGGGACATTCTAAACAGCGAGGTGGCTAGCAAAGCTCAAAGGTGTGAGAAATGTGGAACAGTTCTGTGGAGCCAGGACCCCCCCTCCCGGGGACGGTGTGGGAGCTGCCACTGGAGACTGAGGGCACCTGTGCCTCCCGCCCCTCGTGCAGTGGCCACTCCGCGCTTGGCTGTGTCCCTGCAGGTGAATGTGGGGCAGATGTCCAACTCTCCAGCCAGTAACTTGGGTCAGGAATCTGGTTTGTGTCCCTGCCACCTGGGTCTGCCAGGAGGCTGAGGAGCAGTGACCCATGTGGCCATCAGCACCTCCGCTGGACCCCACCAGGAGGGACCAGCCGTCTGAGGGCGGGGCTGGGACGGGTACAAGACGAACCTGCAGAATCTTTCTGTGCCAGAAAGTGAGGCTGTCCTCGAGGAATTGTGGGGACTGCCACCAGAACGCAGGGGCCACTTGCAGGGACTCTTGTCATTCCACCCTTGGAAGGTCTGGATCAAAGTAGATGACACTTTGGCTTCTGACCAGTTTAACAAAAGAGGAGTAGATGAGCACATGGCGTACGCGAAGGAGTAAAGGGTGGCCGTGGGAGCCTAATGGCCAGGCGCTTGACAGAGTCCCAGGTGAGGCTGTAACTGCGGCGTGGCTTGTCCTTTCAGTAGCTCGTGACATTCCATAATAATGTGACCCGGGGCCCCAGGCACGCTAAGCAGGTGCTCCCCACCGAGCTGCACTCCGAAGTGAAGGGGTCCACGCCGCTGGGCAGCCACACCACCACCTCCCCCCCCAGGCCTCGGGGTCCGCCAGCGCGAGCAGTGAGTGGCCCTGCAGCCTCTGCCCTCCTGGCTGAGACTTTTTTTTTCATATGATAAAGCCTTTATCTAAAATCCCATAAAATGTTCCAGCGTTGATGTTTGTGGACCTTGGGAACTTCTGAACTTGGAGGGGTGCTGGGCCGGGCGAGCAGGAGGACTGGCCCTCCCAGGCGGGCGTGGGGGAGCCTCACTCTCCTCCTGGGCTGCTGGTGCCCGACACAGACCAAGGAACACAGCTGGAGTCCAGAGTGTACCCAGGTGGACCCAGCAGTCCGGCGCTGGTGGAGTTGTGGCCCCAGGACAGGGGCACAGGGAGGTGTGCTGAGGGTGCTGCCAAGGGCCCAGAGCGAGGGTCCCAAGCTGGAGGGATGCGAGGAGGAGGGCGTCGGGAGGCTGGGCATGCTGTGGTAAGGAGCTCATTAACTGGCTCCAGCAGTTACGTCTGGGTGTCGCCCGGCATGGTCAGCGTTTACCAGGTCATGGTCCTGCTCCAGTCCTGCTCCCGGGCTGCAGCCTCCCCTCTTCCAGGAAGCCTGCCTGGTCCACCTACAGCCAGCTCTTCTTCCTCGGAGCCCTAGGCACCTCCTGTCCCTGTCACTCCACTCACCTTTGCTCCTTGCTGAGCGTGGATCCCACCGACCTCTGATTTCTTCTATTTCATGGTCCCTCCCGTAGGGTTGGCACCATATAAAAGATCATTCCTGACAAACGCGTAGCTCCCTCCAGTGATCCACCCGGGGCCCGATGTGACGCTTGGTGGATATAAATAAGGCCTGTGCTGAGAATGCTGCTGATTTGGGCCTGCAGCAGAGCACGGATTACCTCGAATGGGGCCTTGTTTGGTGCGTCCGTGTAAACTGTAAAACAAACCATCGGCTGGAAGCCCCACATCTGCTTCGGATTCTATATATGCATATCGGATACGCTTATAGCGGTGCAGCTGGGATTGCTGGACTTGGGTTTTCAGACTCCAGTGCTGCTGGGCAGGGCCTGTAAACTGACCTCGGCTTCCCCCGCGGTGGGAGGGGCCAGATGCTGCCTTCCCGGGACGCCGCTCTGTCTGTCGGGGTGCTAGGGGCTGCAGGTTGTGTGCATCCAGGGGAGGGCTGGCTGTCGCTCCCCTGGGTGGAGGGTGCTGAGGACACCCAGGGAAGTGTGGGGTGTCCCAGGTGCCCACCAAGGGGGACCGCACAGGTTAAACTGCGGGGACATGTGCTGGATGTAGCGCATCTGGAGGGGAGCAGGTCCGTTCGCGGTGCAGAGGCGCCTTTCTGAAGCCTGAGGGCATCAGGAAGAACTCACGCCGCGCGTCGTTGACCATGTTAGCGCACAGATCAGTAGCACTTAGGACTGCAGCAGGGTCGTCACCACCGCTCTGTCTAGTTCTAGAACATTTCCACTGTCCCCCCAGGGAGGCCCCATGCCCATCAGGTGGTTCTTCCTCCCCCCTCCCCACCCCAGCCCCCTCCATTTCCTTTCCGCGTCGTGGTCTCTCTGTTCTGGACATCCCCGTGAGGGACTCGTCCGGCGAGGTCTGTGTCCTGGCTTCCCTCCGCGAGCATCCTCAGGGGATATCCACGCTGCTGCGCAGGTCAGAGCTCCTCGTGGCTGGGTGACATCCCACTGGGTGGCGAGGCCACGCCTGTCTGCTCGTTCCGGAGGGGGACATTGGGCTGCTGCAACCTCCTGGGCGCCGTGAGCGCCCCGCGAGCGCTGCCCCCGTGCCCTGGCTGGGGAGGCCGCCTGCGGTTCTTGGTGCCCCCCGGCACGGCCGGGTCACACGGTCGGTGCTGGTGGTGATTTTTCAGGGACCCGCCTGTCCTCCCGCAGTTGGGGTGCCTTTTGGCGATAGCCATCATCTTCTGTTTTATAAACGGCTAAACCTAGGCCTGGAGGAGGAGGAAGTCTCGCCCCAGAGCTCACAGCTGAGCCCTGGGCTGGCTTCGAACCCAGGTCCCAGAGTGTGGGCGGAAGGTGCGTGGTCCTGGGCTGGGGGGTGGACGTTTGGTTAATGGAGACCATTACTAAACCGCCTGGCGGCCATTATCCTTCCGTGTGTCGCTGCCCGGCCGAGCCTTTGTCTTGAGTCCTCTCGGTGAGGCCGGGGAGGCCCGCTGCCTCCGATGTGGGCTGCGCCAGTTAACCCGGTCTCACGGGGAAGCTGTCGAGGTGGCGGGGCCAGCTCTGCCAGGCTGCTGACCCTGGGGCTCCGCTTGGCGTGGTCACCCTGACCTGGTTCCAGGGCTCCCACTCCCAAGGGCTGACCTGACCTTTGCCCTTGTGGTAGAGGGTCCTGACATACCCACCCACAACTTCACACAGTGCGAATGGAGTCGGAGTGGAAATGTCAAAACCACTCCACCGGGCGCTGCCTGATAGGCTACTTTGTCAACCCTGTCCCCAGCCGGCACTCTGTCATGACCGCAGTCCTGCCCCTTGGTCCTGGTTCCTGAGTGTCCTTGGGGCTGCCCTCTGGGGCTGGAGACCGTTGCTGGTTCCGTGCTGCTGTGGACAGGCCCTCGGTGATGCTGCAGCAAGGACCTTCCGGCTCTTGACAGGAAGACTCCCCGGAGAAAGGTGCCTCCTGGGAGGGCCTTAGGCGTTTTGTGGTCCTTCACCTAACGTCACCGCAGCCTTGCACAGAAGTGTCCGGCTCCAGGGCAGCCACAGCCGGACACCTATGGTTTTCCTGGTGGTCTCATGTGGTCCAGCTCCCAGCCTGGCGCCCTTCCCAGGTGTCTGCTGCAGTCCTGAGAGTCATGTGCACCCCTCCTGGCCCTGCTGCCCTCCATCCTCTTCCTTCTAGAATTTTCCTGGATTCCTTCCTGTCACTGCCCTGAACTTGCACCAGAGGCAGCTGGTGGTGTGGCCTGGGGCAGGTGTCTCTCTGGAGGCTGCAGTCTGGTTGCTCGGGGGATTTGAACCCGTGACCCCGACTCATGGCAGGCTGTGAAGCCTTGGCCTGCTGGCAAGGAAGGAGCCCGTAGAGCCAGCGTCCACTGTGACCCCCCACCCCCTTTCGCTCTGCCCCAGGACCTTGGCACTGGTTCCTGTGTGGAACACAGCTCCACCCCCTTCCTCTTCACCCAGCTGTTGGCTACTGCGCAGAGCTCACCATCCAAGGTCACTAAGATGTTCCTGCTTCCAGCCCTGGAATACAGGACCACAGAGGTGGGCTCTTGCTGCAGGTCCCGGACGCTCAGCGGCAGGGACGCCCTGTCTCGGCCCTGTGCTGCCTTTCCTGAGAAGTCTGCTTCTCCTGGGCCTTCTGTCTGTCTCCGTTGCGTCTGTCTGACCACTCCACCTCAGCAGTGCCAGGGCACCGGGGCCCTGGGTGGCAGCATGCCCACAGCAGCCAGTGGAGGAGGGGCAGCCCGGGCGCCGGGTGCCGACAGGGAGCCACCCACACAGAGGCCCTGGTTTGCCGTGAGCCCTGGGGCCTCCGCCAGGTCCCCGAGCAAAGCCACTTCCCCAGGTGACGGGAGCGTGTTGTGGGTTCCTCTTAAAACGGAGGGATCCCGTGGGTGGGGTTTCTCCTGGGGAGAGCCTGCCCCTGGCCAGGCCCGGCCTCTGTCCCGCCCTCCCGGGCCTGCTCCTGGCAGCCTCCCTGTGGCCGCTGAGGGTGGAGGAGGCGCAGGAGGGCAGCACCACCCACCCGCCTGGGAGGACGCAGCTGCCCAGGCCCGGCACGGGCGGTCTTTCCAGTTTGGGGAGGGAGAAGGGGGCAGAGCTGGGGTTTCCAGGCCTCCCTCCCCAGGGTGGCCTGGTCCCCAGTCTCCCCCGGGACCATGGCTTTGGGAGGAGTTTCCTGGGTTCCCGACGGCTCTCCGCCGGGTCTCGGGGTGTTGGCGCTCCCCCTCCTGCCTGGTCCAGAGCCCACGGGGAGCCCTTGAGCAGAGCGTCCTCCGTCCTCGGAGACGGACCACGCCCTGTGACGCTCGTTCCTGAGGAGCCCATCCCTTGCTTGGTGTCCCCCACCCACCAGGGACAGTCCCGTCCCTTGTTGCCAGGGCAGACACTCTGTGTCCTGTCCTTCTCCCCACTGGGGGCTGGGGGACTTCACAGGGGCCTGGCTGCCCTGTATGTGTGTCTGTCTGTCTGTCAGGGAGAGAACCTGCTTCTCAGGAGGCTTTGTGACTCCCAGAAGGTGAGCCACAGCTTGGGATTCCCGCATGCCCAGGCAGATCGCGGACCAGTGGGACAAGTCGGCCTCCTCCAGGACCGGCATTGTGACATTGTCGGGGATCGCGCTCTGGGTGGCTGGAGGGTGGATGGGAACTGCTCTGGGCGGGCCGGTGCCTGGGTGTGCCTTGGGAGTCTTGGGTGGGTGTCCCACACACCCCTCTACCACAGGGCCCTGCCCTCCCCGATCCTGGGCGTGATTCCACCTCCACTGTCCCCAGGCTGGCGTCTTGCTGTGTCCCCCAGTCTCCTAGTGTGCTCAGGGCTTGGGGACAGGGACCGGGACCCTTCTGGACAGCCCACCCCCCTTTCCTTGTCATCGTCTTGAAGTTGGGGTGCCTCCAGGCTGGGGGCAGCTGCTACAGACGCCCCAGCCAGCGGGCAGCCCAGGACAGGGTGCCCTCTGCCCTGCTCACCCTGGAGGCTTGCTCCCTGGGCCCCTTGGCACCCTGAGTTTTCTGTGAGCCGCTGGTTTGGGGACAGGGCTCAGCAGGGAAAGGGAAAGTTCTTATTATAGGGTACGCACACAGAAAAGTGGAACGCGTGGGAGGGCTGGTGGGGTGTCCTGAGCCCCAGGCCCTCGCTGCCCCAGGGCTTTGGCCTGGCCTGGCTGGTTCCTCTCTCGGCCTCTCCCTGTGCCCCGTCCAGGGGAGGGGCCACTCCCCAGCAGGTGGTCCCTGCGGGGTGGGGGGGGTGGTCAGGGTGGACTGCAGCTGCCCGCCTTGGGTCTGCTGGGGAGGGGGACCATGTTCTCTGCCTGGCCATCTCTGTGAAGTTGGAACGCAGGTGATATGTCACATCTCACTGTTGGATTTCCTGTCTGTCTTCTTTGTGGTAAAATATGCAAACCTTTACCATGGTTAAGGGCTCAGGGCCATGGCTGTCACTGCCCTGCACCTGGGAAGCCTCCCTGCTGGCCCAGGGTCCCGGGGGAGTGCAGTCTGTCGTGAGCTCCCTTTTCAAAGGGCCCTCCTGGAGCGAGAGGGGAAGGGGGCCGGCCGGGTCCCCATCTGTCCGTCACGAGGAGAGGGAGCGTTTTCTAGCGGGGCCTTGGATGGCTTTTCAGGGGGCGAGGAACAGGCCCAGGTCATGGGTCCAGGCGGGTGGAGCCAGGATTGGGCTGTGCAGTCCCCCGTCTGGGGCCGTGCAGGTGGGCGGCGGCCCTCACCCTTGCCTCTGTCCCACAGCCTCGCCGCTCCTGCTCTTTGCCAACCGCCGGGACGTGCGGCTGGTGGACGCCGGCGGAGTCAAGCTGGAGTCCACCATCGTGGTCAGCGGCCTGGAGGACGCAGCCGCCGTGGACTTCCAGTTCTCCAAGGGGGCTGTGTACTGGACGGACGTGAGCGAGGAGGCCATCAAGCAGACGTACCTCAACCACTCGGGCGCGGCCACGCAGAACGTGGTCATCTCCGGCCTGGTCTCGCCCGATGGCCTGGCCTGCGACTGGGTCGGTAAGAAGCTGTACTGGACGGACTCGGAGACCAACCGCATCGAGGTGGCCAACCTCAACGGGACGTCCCGGAAGGTGCTCTTCTGGCAGGACCTTGACCAGCCTCGGGCCATCGCCCTGGACCCCGCTCACGGGTAAACCTGCTGCTGCCCTCCTGGCTCTGGGGAGGGGCTGGTCTCCCGCTGGGATTGGCTCAGCTTTCAGAACTCACAGTGCGGCAACCTGTGCTGTCGCTGTGGGTTTGGATGCTGAGTAGCCCCGTGGCTGGGCCGGGCTGGGCGGCCGGGGACGCTGGGATCCCAGCAGGTGGGGATGCACTTGTGCCGTCTCGGGGCCGCCTGGGCAGAAACCAGTGGAAGGTTCTAGTCACACCAGGAAGCAGAGCCTGCGGGCCCCGTGCGGCGTGCTGGTCTGTGTGAGCTCCCCGTGGCCCTGGAAGGTTGGGCAGCTGTGGTCCAGGCGGTGGCCAGGCTAAGACGCCCGCGGGGCTGCAGGCCCGGGTGTCGGGTAGCTCTTTGGGAACAGTTTCTTCCATCCCCCCAGCCCTCCCTCGCCTCTCCTCCCTGGGAAGTGGCACTGGGGTGTGCATGGCCAGGGCAGTGTTGGTTCAGCCACAGGACGGCCGGACGTCCCGAGCAGAGGCTGAGCTTTCCCGCCTGTGTCTTTCACCTCGGGTGTGGAGCTGGCGGTCACCAGACCTGTGAGAGGCTCAGCCTGGGTCCTGCCAGCTCAGGTGGCTGCTTGGAGCCCCCGTGGGGCTCCCTGTGAGACCTCCCAGAGGTGGCTGTGATCTGTCCAGGCACAGGCGCCGTTGGGGGCTGTCCCCAGCTCAGGGGTGCTGTCTGAGCTCTGCAGACCCCTGGCTCCAGTCCTGGCGCCTTAGCTTGCTGTGACCGCCCTGCCCCGGGGTGACTCTGGTGTGCTGTCCACACCTGCTCAGAAGCTGGGCAGCGGGAGACTGGTCTGGACCAGCATGTGCCACTGCCCCTGCCAGGGGCCTCTGGATGGAGGGCTGGGAGGTGCGGGTCCCTGCCCGGCTCTGTCTGGGGGTTAAGGAGCAGCTGGCGTGGGGTGTGGGCAGCCGGGTGACCTGCTGGTGCTGCCGGAGGTGCCCTGGTCTGGCGTCTGAGTGCCTCTGACGCTGGCAGGTGTGTGAGGAGTCGGTGGCAGGTGGGAGGGCGGGAGCCCCTGAGCATGAGTGTGCATGAGTGTAGGTGGGCACCTGTGTGCATGAGAACACGCGTGTGAGCGCACGTGAGCGAGTGGCTGTGGGAGCAGGTCTTGCAGGTGAGCATGTGTGGGTGTGTGCGAGTGTGACGTGAGTGCTGTGGTGTGGGTGTGTGCGGGTGTGTGTTCACGCTCCAGGGCTGGGGGGGTTTCAGAGCAGCCTGGAGCCCTGCACCTGGGGCTCCCCAAGGCAGCCGGCCACCCCGTTCCAGGGGTCTCTGTGCTGCTCGGGGAAGGGTCCTGCACCTGTTCCTGAGCTGCAGTGGGGCCCAGGACCCTTGGTGCTCGGCCACCTTCCCGAGGTGTGGCTGACGTGGTGGCCTCCTGGTGAGGGGCAGAGGGTGGCAGCCAGCTGGAGGGCCCCAGCCCAGGGCGGCGCAGCGTCTGCTCAGCCTGGACTCCATCTCTCCCTGGCCTCCCGAGCTGGGTGTCAGCGCTGTCCCCTGCTGGGGCCCGGCTCTGGGAGCACTTAGGCACAGGTGCCGTGGTGCAGCCGACTCTGCTGTCTGGCCCTCGTGGCCCTGGGGACGATGGTAAATGGGTGGCACGTCTGAGGGACACGTGTCACCAGGAGAGCAGAGAGGGCTCGAGGACGGGGCAGTGGTGAGGGGTGAAGCCGGGAGCTGGAAGGCCTCTGGCCGCCTGCGAGCCAGGCTCTCAGCAGCTGAGGTGGGAGTCAGGTGACCGTCCGAGGAGGAGCACTGGGCAGAGGGAGCTGGGCCTGTAGAGGGGCCCAGCCCGAGTGGGCGCTCCCCGGCTGGCAGAGCAGGCTCAGGCGCTGGGGGGTGAGGGGCAAGGAGCCGGGCAGGGGTCATGGAGTGTCCAGAGCTGGGTCTGCGGGCCCCTCCTGTGGGAGGTGAGGTTGGTGTGATTCTGCTCCATGCCTGGGTGTCTCCAGCTGTACAGAGGGTGACCATGAATGTGTCACGTGGAAAACGTAGAGGACGGCCGCGGAACTCAGAAGGTTTCGCTCTGTTACAGTCAACGCAGCTCGTGGTCTCTGCGGCCGTGCAGCTGCTTCTTCGTACTTCTCTGAGGCTCTTGGCCGTGGTGGTTGGGAGATGTGTGCTACTGCCCCGGGAGGTGCTTGGTGGGAAGGAGCTTGGTACTAGGTTAAAGGTGCTTGGTGCTAGGTGCTCAGTTGGGGTGCTGGGTGCTTGGTTGGGAGTTCACATCTCATGTCTGGGCTGGCTTTGCCTGAGCCATCTCTGAGGTCCAGACGGTCCCTGTGACTGACTTTCCTTATTAAAGTTTTGAATGGACCATTTGTGTCCTGGCCTTTGAGTCTGAAGCCCTCCCAGGATCCTACCTGCAGCTGTCCCGTTCCGTCCCTGCCCTGGGCAAGGTTGACCTGGGTCCTGCTGCCCTCAGCCTCTCGTCGGCCTTCCCCAGTCATGCCACGTGTCTGGGCAACCAGAGTGGCAGCCGGCGGGGGGTGCTGTCTCCTACTCATCAGAGTGAGGTGCGGACGCGGGACTGTGGCCCCCAGTTCATGTGGGAACCTGATGGATTTTCAGGAGCCTCCTCTGTACCCTCGGTCACCAGGACAGAGGATGCCAGCCCACAGAAGGCTGGGGAGTCCCGCAGTGGGCAGCACCCTGAGGTGGGGTTGGTGCAGGGGAGGCCTTGTGCCCCATGCACAGGGAGCAGCATGGCTTCCTCCCAGTGCTGTCAGAGCTCCTGCTGTCCCCTCATGCCCTCCTGTGCCACTGTCCCCTGTGGGTCCTTCCTCAGATGAGGGGACACCTGCTCTAGAATGGACAGGGGAGAAATGCACCTCGGCTCGCACACAGCTGAGGGCCCCCGGCCAGGAGGCCCTGAGACGCAGCTCGGGGCGTCTGGGCTGCAGCGGCTGCAGGGGTCCAGCTAATGCCTGGTGAAACCCACCCCTCTTTAAAGCATGGGGCCCCCGCTGTGCCTCCTGGGAGGTGGAGGGCCCTCTCTGGGGTCTGGCGGCCTGTGCCGGCATCGGAGACTGCGGGGGCGTGTCTTGCCAAGTGGGTCTGGTGACCGTCCGGCTCGCGGATTCCCATTTCAGGAGAGCAGCCCCCTCGGTGGTGAAACTCGGGAAGGAACGTGAGTCCCTCCACGGTCCCTGAGCCTTGGCAGCTTCCGGCTGGTCTGTGTGGCCAGAGAGCTGCCCCTGGGGCAACCCGTGGGCCACGCCAGGTCGGGGCTCCCACTGACTTCTCAGTGGAGGGGGACCCGGGGCTCTTTCCGGACTGCTGGGGGTGGACTCGGGGAGGGGAGGGTGTCTGTCCCCGACCCTCCAGCTGGGCACCAGTACCTTCAGGCCTCAGGCTGTGGGGAAGCGCTCACCCGCACGCGGGCCCTGCTGGGGACCGGGTGAGTCATCTGTGGCCTGGCTCAGGCTGTGGCCAGATGGCCATGCTGTGCTCCTGGAGCTGCCCCTCTGAGCCTGCAGGACGGGTGCCGTCGGCCCGCGGAGCTCGGCGTGGAGTGGGTGCCCGCCCGGCCTTCCCTGTGCGGCCCAGTGCTCAGTCGCTGCATCTGTGGGAGGGCTGCCCTCGCCTCCTGGCCTCTGTGCAACGAGGGTGCATTTTCCATGAAGCCCCGACACCCTTGTTCCCACGGGTCCTGTCACAGCCCCTCGGGAGGCCTTGGTCCTGGATCAGAACCGACCGCTCTGAGAGGCTGGGGGCATTCGGTAGGGGTGGCGGTGGCTTCAGAGACGCACAGTGGCAGTGGGGACAGCTGCTGTGCATCTAACCACCTTCCTTCTCCTGCTGATGGAGACCCCCAAGGGACCTGGCTGGGCTGGCTTCCCGTTGTCCAGGCCACCACGTTGGCCCCTCACAGTTTGCTGAAACTAACAAAGTTTTACTTCTGCAGAGACGAGGCCAAGGTGGGGGACGGCTTGTCAGGGACTGGGGCAGGTGGGCGGGAGGAGAAGAGAGGTCACGGGCCCCATGGGGCCTTGGAGCCGTGTCACCGTGCTCTGCTCGCAGGGGCCAGGAGAGGGAGGCCGGCTCCTTGAAGGGTGACCTGGGGCTGTGCCCTTCTCTAGCTGCTTGTCCTCAGCCTCTTGGGACAAGAGCCCCGTGTCCTCCGGGCTGGTGCGACTCCCTCTGGGTCCCCTGAGGGGCCACACCCGGCACCTGGGCTCAGCCTGTGGTGGCAGTCTCTGGGTGTCAGCAGAGTGGCCCTGTGCTCCCTGGCGCTGGTGTCACTGTGTGTCTCTGGGTGTGTGTTCCTGCCTCTTGCTGGAGCCTGGAGAGGTGACCAGCAGCGCCCACCCCAGACGCCCAGGATGCGCTGCTGTCCAGTATGCACACGCGGGCTTTGCTCTTCTTAATAGACTATTTTCAGAACAGTTTCGGGTGCATAGAAATTAAGCAGAATGTGGGGTGCTTCGCACGCCCCCCAGCCACCTCCCCGTGGGCTTCCTCCCCCAGCCACCTCCC